AGAAACAGAGAGAGAGAGATCGCAGAAGGGGGGGGTGGGGGAGAAGGCAGAAGGAGAGAGAAAGCAAGAAAAGAGAGAGAGAGAAACATATAATAAATAGGAGAACACAACTTTCTGATAGTATTTTCTTATTTCACGTTCTTTATTTTTTATTTTCAGTCTAATAAATAATAGCCCAATTAAAATAGGAGAAACATATATTTTTAGCCGCTCTAAAAAAATAATAGCTGATAAAAAATATATTTTTGTATATATGCGCATTACATACGTATAATATACATATTTTATATATGTTTTAGCTAGCGAATGCAGTTAGTTTCGACCGACCGACTAAGAAATGGAGAGTCTATGCCTTGAATGAATCAGTAACAACGGATTAGTGGAATGAGGGATCAAGAGACGGATAGGGAGGGAATGACCTATCAATCATTGGTTGACCTTCCCTTGAACCAGTTTTTATATTTTCCCCTTACAATAGGAATGACTCAACCCCAACCGACCTAATACCCATATATATAAATTAAAATAATGCTTAAAGTGAATCTTTCCCCCAAAAAATAACTTAGTTTAGAATGCATATGGATAATTAGAAAACTGCTGAAACAATAGTGCTATCAATTTGAATAAAAATCTTTAAGAGAAAAATAAAAGATAGAAGTAACGTATTTTGGAGGATTCACTTTTAGTACTATTTTAATTATATATATGGTTATTGTCGAGCCGGGTTGGTTCATTTCTATTTTAATTAGATTATTATTTACTGGACTAAAAATAAAAAGGAATAAGAAAATACTACCGGAAAGTTGTATTTTTCGGTTACTATGATTTTTGTGTGAGAAAATATTTTTATATGACTTTAATGAAAATAAATCATAGTTATACGACCGTTTGTGAAATTTCATGCTAAAAAGGAAAATAATTAGGGAAACATGATATAGTGCTTGTTTTACTATGAACTTTCATGAGTAGGTACACTCTAAGAATGGGGGTGGTTTGGTGGATTTTCTGATGTGAATTCTCTTACTGTGTGAATTTTCCTTTACTGAAATTCTGAATCACTAGTCAAGAGATGTTAGTTTACTGTAGTAGGGCGTAGTCAGGGCTGACCACCTAGTTGTCAGAAATATCTGTAGGAAGTCTTGATGGTCTGCCGTCAAAAAGGTCTGCGATGCGCTTTTCTCTGACGATCCTTTTCGCACCGATAATTCGTGTACTCTTCAGAGGACTTTCCAACAGATATGTCCGTCAGAGTTTCGCGTAATTCCAATAGTGTTGCTCAACTTAGACAAGCAGTCAGAAATTTGTGTAATTCCAGTAATGTTGCTCAACTTAGACTTTAAGTTGAGAGGGAAGAAGTATATCCTTGATTCTCTATGTTATGAAAGATACTAAATTAAAACATATTTTAATCTAAATATATTTTTTTTGGCTATTTGCAACACACAGTTGTTTTGGAACAGAAGAATTATAAGAACTTCCTCAATATGCAATAAGTTGAATTTTGATCTTCTTTAATCTTGCTACAACATCTTTCATGTCGGTCCTTCCTTCAGGAGATTCAATATAACAATCGAAGCTAATCAAGATCCTAACTATAGGAGACTGATTAAAGGAACTAGGCAAATAGATTTTAACAAAAGGAAAAGCCGTTGCCTACACTCTGTACCCCTTACTCAAGCCGAAAACAATACTTGTTTATTCATTCAAAGCTCAACATGCAAGAAGTTGAATCTTTATAGTCTTTAACCTTGCTACGACATCTTTCATGTCAATCCTTCCTTTAGGAGATTCAACACAACAATCTATTGCCACTTTCATGATGGATACCACACAATCTAACTTTTTCATTAATTGATTATCCTGTGGTGTTATTAAGTTGGCATCAACAACTTCCATTACTGCTCGTGGGAGTGAGTTGCTCGCCCATTGCTTCAAGCTAAGATCTCCATCAAACATTTCATCACTAGGCTTTGTCCTTGTAAATGTTTCCATCAACATGATTCCGTAACTATAAACATCGCATTTTGTTGACACCAGTCCCTCCAGTCCATACTCTACAATCAGTCAATTTTAAATTCAGCATTTACTGGTGGAGAAAAGAAAGAGAAATATTCAAAAGCAATTACTTAAGAGATCACTTACCTGGTGCAATATAACCCAATGTTGCTAAAGTTTTAGTGTACGAAGCACTCTCGTCTTCAGAAAGCAGTTTTGAAATGCCAAAGTCACTTAGGTGGGCAACCATGTCCTCATCCAACAAGACGTTACTAGGCTTCAGATCACAATGGATCACGGGAAATGAGCAGCCATGGTGGAGATATTCCAAGGCGCATGCCACATCTATCATTATACTTAGTCTTTGCTTGATGTCTAAGAAGTAGTTGTGCGAATACAACCAGTTATCGAGGCTTCCATTAGGCATGTAGTCTAGTACCAAAGCCTTAAATTCAAGGTTGGAACAATTAGTGATGACTTTGGTGAGATTCCTATGACGAAGGTTGCGCAAAACTTGGCATTCTGTATCGAAACTCCTAAATGCTGCTTGCAATTGCAGATTGAACACTTTAACTGCAATAGGAGTCCCATCTCTGAGGATGCCTTTGTAAACAGAGCCGAAACTCCCGGAACCAATCAAATTGCTCTCGCTGAGTGAATCATTTGCTTGGAGCAATTCATAGTATGAAATTCTTTCTCTTGTTGAGATGTCATAGGATGAACCAGCTGTTTGTTGAGGATCAGTTCTTTTACCTCTTATATACCTTATCCATACCATCACAAAGATGATAGGAACTAATATAACTATTGCAATTCCGGCCAATAGAAGTAGAATAAGTACCTTTTTCCTCTTGGATCTATGCTTTGAAGTACTAGTATGGCATGGTGGAACACGGAATCTTAGAGAACCACATAATGCTTCATTGGACATGAAAGACTGACCGGAGAGGTTCTTGAAAGGACCGCCGGAGGGGATTTCACCAACCAACTTATTGAAAGAAACATTAAAATACTTGAGATTTTGAAGCTTCTCCAAAGACTTGGGAATTAATCCTGAAACATTGTTATGACTAAGGTCTAGAAATTCCAAAGCTGACATGCTTCTGATCGATTCAGGTATTGATCCTTGTAATTTGTTGTCTCTCAAAGATAAGTGCCTTAGATTTTGCAAGCCACCAATTTCTCTAGGAATTCCATTTGAGAATGTATTCATTGATAGATCCATATATATCGCAGCCTTTAGATTTCCAATTTTCGGAGGTAAAGGGCCATCCAAGTTGCTTGAGGATAAGTCTAGCTTCAAGAGATTTCTGAGGTTCCCTAAGCTTGCTGGTATGTTTGAACGCAATTTGTTGGAACCTAGAAATATCTCCCGAAGGGAAATTAAGTTCCCCAAACAATTAGGAAGAGATCCTGAAAGTTGATTCTGAGTTAAGTATAAATAACCCAAGTCTTGCAATTTACATAGATCATCTCCAATAAATCCAGAAAGTTTGTTGTGACTCAAATTAACGCTCTGAAGAAATCTCAAGTTGCTAATTGTTGTGGGAATTGATCCAATTATATCGTTTTCAGAAAGATCGAGGTCTAATAAGCTGCTTAAGTTCCCAATTCCTTTTGGAATTTCCCCTTTAATTCTGCAACCAGCAGCGTTAATCCTTAGAAGAGAAGTACTGGAAAGGCTCCCTAAGGAGACTGGAAGTACACCATTTAGAGGGTTCAAAGATAAAGAAAGAAATTCTAAATCTCTACAATTTGATAAGGAAGTAAAGAAGCTTAATGTAGAGTCGCTCACTAAATTGTTTCCATCCAAGAGTAGGTACTCTAGATGAGTCAAATATCCAAGAGAGGTTGGAATCAAACCGGTGAGTCTATTTCCAGCAACATCTAGAGTGTTGAGCTTGGAACAATTGGAGATAGAATGTGGTATCGTCCCAAAAAGATTTAACCGACCTAGATAAAGACCTTCAATGTTGGGTAACATAGAACCTATGTTCAATGGGAGGGTTCCTGTCAGATTATTGTTTAGAAGGTCAATCACTGTTATCCCTGATATGTTGAAGATCTCCATTGGAAGTGAACCAGTAAACTTGTTCAAACCCAGATCAATTCCATCCAAGTCAATGAGATTGCTTACCTCTTTCGGTATTTCACCTGCCAATGTTTGTATGTATCAGTAATTAATGAACAACTAGTAATAGGTTTGTAGGGGTGGGGGGTGGGGGGAGAGGCATGTGACCAGGAGGTCACGGGTTCGAGCCGTAGAAACAACTTCTTGCAGAAATGTAGGGTAAGGCTGCATATCATAGACCCTTGTGGTCTGGCCTTTCCACAGACCCTGCGTATAGCGGGAGCTTAGTGGACCGGGCTGCCCTTTTAGTTCAGCCATAGCAAGCTAGCTGCTGTATCTTAATTTCCCTACTCCTTTTGACTATATACATACCTGTTAGCATATTTTGACTAAGATCAAGAATCTGTAATTTGGTCAAGTTGCCAACCTCCCATGGCAAGGACCCAAAGAGATTGTTGCGTCCTAGTGACAACACCTGCAGCGAGGAGATATTGAATATGGAGATTGGAATTGTCCCTGCAATATAATTCAAATGTGATGAAATTTTTCAAGAAGTTTATAGTTAGAAGAAAACACTATAAGCTAACTTTCAACACCAAACCTTCAAAATGGTTACGTCCAAGATACAGATTCTGCAGGTTACTTAAATGACCAATTTCACTATGTATGGGTCCATCAAACTCGTTCACTGATACAGACAACATTTGAAGTTTCGAACAGTTTGGTAAGCTTACAGGCATATGACCGCGTAGCTTGTTCATACTTAGATAAAGTTTTTCGAGCATTGGAAGACGATCACACATCAGTTGGAAGATTTCCTGATAAGGTATTATTTGTAAATGCGATGGATTCAAGTCTAGACATGTTAAAAAGCGAGAATGGTATAGAACCTGTAAGTTGATTATGCTCTATTGACAAATGGTTTTAGGTTTTGAAGATTTCCAATCTCTTTTGGGATGTTTCCTTGTAAGAAATTGTAAGAAAGATATACAGACACCAACATTGACGCATTCGAGAGAGACGGAGGGATAAAACCTTTAAGCTTGTTTACACCTAAATTTAAAAAACTTAGATTTTCAAGATTTCCAATCTCTTTTGGGATTTGGCCCTCCAAGGAATTGAATTTCAAATCCAAAGTTTGAAGCTTGGAAATATTAGAAAATAAAGAGGGGATGAAACCATTGAAACAATTATTCCTTAGAGTTAGAACTTGAAGTTGTTGCAACACCCCGAACCAGGAAGGAACCTCCCCGCTAAAGTTGTTAAAACCAAGTCTAACAAACCTTAACCGATGTAACCGTGCCATTTCTTGAGGCAAATTGCCGTAGAAATTGTTGCTACTCAAGTCAAGAGAATCAAGAAATGTGAGATTTCCGAAATCAGGGGGAATTCTGCCTGTAAGATCCATATTGGAAATATTCAATGACTTCACTCTGTGATGGCGAGAACCACAAGTGACTCCAACCCAATGACAGACAGGAATAGTTGAAGACCAACTTTCATCCAACAAGTGAAAAGGGTCTAAAATGATTTGGGATTTGAAGGAAAGAAGAGCTAATTGATCAGTGGTAATATTGGTGTGAGTTATGGCTAAACTTGGCACAACCAAATGAAACAACAAGAGAAAAGAGGTGAAGGTTTTCTCCATTAGTACTTTAAAAATTAGAAAGAACTAGGTTCTCACAGTTGTGGCGTCTGAGGAGGGTAATGTGTACGCAAACCTTATGCCTATCTTGTAGAGGTAGTTAGGTAGAGAAGCTGTTTCTGATAGACCTTCGGTTCAAAAAAGCATTTCTCGGTAGATTTGAATCGTAAAAACAGTAGTGAAAAAGCCATGTTGAAAATAATAAAGACAAGACCAGTAATGGTTCTGGTCGGAATCAATATGTACAAAATTAGGTTCTGGTCGAGCTAGCTACAAATCACAAGCATTCTGATTCAAATTCGAAAAAAGATTGAAACTCAATAGGGAATTAACTTCATATTTTAACTTCAATGATGATAATGGCAATCATGCTTTATCTCCAAAAGCTTTAAACTTGAACGAAAAAATACTGCAGAACAACAATTGATTTGATGCGAGTATCGAAAAGAAATTCAATCAAGTAAGAAGAAAGAATGTATAATACATTATACAACTTTCATACAACATTGATACGTCTTCCAACTTTGGTTTATTGCCGGATACAGTTTGCATGCCTTCATATAACTTTAATATAATTTTATACATCGTACAACTTTCATATTAATCTTCATACAATTATAACATAACTTTTATACAATTTTGACGTATCTTCAAATATGTGGTTAGTTACATTTTACATGTCATGCTTTATATCAATATAATACAACTTTCATACAATTTGCATACAAACTTCCATACAGTATGTTATTGTATGTGTTTTGTGTTTTGTATGCCGCGTATTCTTTCTTGTTCGATTTTCTATCTAAAATTCCAACCAAAACCAACTCCAATCTTCACTAAAACTCCCTTAAAATTGAGATGTAAACTCCAAAGGATATTCTCAATCGTTTGCAATAATACTCAATTCAAACAATTTAGAATTCGGGCAACAAGCTCCGAATCACCTATTATTTTATGGGCCCAACAACCTAATGAACAGTAGTTATTGCTTCGCCATGACTTTTCCTCGTTTTGGCATTTTACGGCCATAAAATAATAATTCAGGATGATTTCTAATTTTTTGCGTGCTAATTGCCAAGCCATCTTCATGAATTCGGGCGACGGACTCCGAATCGCCTAAAATTTTGTGGGACCATTAGAAATAACCTAATGAACAAAAGTCCTTATTTTGCCATGACCGTTCCTCTTTTTTTTTTTGCTATTTTTTGGGCCACAAAACAAGAATTCAAGATGATTTTCTATTTTTCATGTGCTAATGTCCATGTCATCTTCATAAATTCACCCGAAAGGCTCCGAATCGCCTAAAATTTTGCAGGCCCATACAAATGACCTAATGAATAATTGTCATTGCTTCTTCATGATTGTTCCTCGTTTTTAGCATTTTAGGGCCATAAAGCATCAATTCAAGACGAATTTTAATTTTTCATGCGTTAATGTCTATGCCATCTTAATGAATTCGGGCGACGGGTTCCGAATCGCCTCAAATTTTGTGGGCTTATAAAAAACAACCTAAAGAATAATTTTTATTGATTCACCATGACCGTTCCTTATTTTTTTTAGCGTTTTAGGGATATAAAACAGTAATTCAGGATGATTTTCAATTTTTCGTGTGCTAATGTCCATGCCATCTTCATGTTTTCGAGCGATGAGTTTCGAATCGCCTAAAATTTTATAAGTCCATCAGAGACGACATAATGAACAATAGACATTACTTCTCCATGACCGTTCCTCGTTTTTTGGCAATCCAAGATGACTTCCAATTTTTCGTGTGCTAATGTCTACGCCATCTTCACGAATTCGGGTTATGGGGCTCCGAATTGCCTAAAATTTTGTAGGCCCATCAGAAATGACCTAATGAGCAATAGTCCTGCTTTGTCATGACTATTCCTTGTTTTTGGTATTTTAGGGCCATAAAACATGAATTCCGGATGATTTCCGATTTTTTGTGTGCTAAGTGGCACGCCATCTTCATGAATTCGAACGATGGGCTCCGAATCGCCTAACATTTTTAACACCAGCCACTGCTATAAAAATTCAAGAACTATTATATATATGTTATGAATAGTTTGTACATTGGATACTACTTTGGATACTACATTGGATACTACATTGGATGTTACATTGGATGCCCATGTTGTGAATAACTTAAAGATTAAATTTCCTATTTTATGTCCATCATCTTTACTTTTTATGCCTATAAAAGGCCATGTAATTGCAATGAAAAATTACACCAAAGTGAAAGAAGAAAACACTTCTTCATTCTCTCTATCTCTTCTTGTTTACATTTTACTGCATTGCTTTTATTTTATAACATGTTATCAGCACGAAGCTCTAATTTTATTCTTAACTCCCGCTAAGTTGAGCCATATTTTATTAAGGTATGTATCATTATAATCATTTTATTTATGGCAGTACATATCATATGCTCATTGTTTGCAGATTACTTGTGCGCTTGGGCATCTTAAATAGTTTAAGTACATTGCAGTGATAAAATAACTATTT